TTGGGCCTGGGTATGAATAGCTGACGGCGGCTGATAAGCCAGAAGTGGTCAATCCAGTTTCCCCTGCCTTCGCCGGCAATGCTATCCGGCTATACTAACAGAACCTCTGGCAATACCCGAGGCAGAGCGGGACAGATAAGTCCTGTTAGTGGTGAGATGAACGTTTATCAACAAGATGCATTCATTTAATTGACAGTTGCCCTGATACAACATTTTGAAATGACTCTCACGCATTCTAAATTCCTACGCATGCACAAAAACTTTTCTCTTATACCTCTTTTTGGAAGCCGGTAATTTATGAAGTAGGTATTTTTTCCCAGATAAGTATATATATATATTACAGACCCGCTTTGTGGGAGATGTTTGCTCAACTGTCACTCCCAATATCCTCTAAGCCAATAAATCCCCCTCCTGCTGCTAATACTAGTATGTTGACCGCCGATTTCTTGCTCTACCTCTACACACCTAACTGAACTCAGAGGGCTGACTCGATGGATGCTAACTGTCTTCCATCGAGCTGCAACATCTCGCGACGAAATTCCCTTCTTTTCGAGTACGTGAAACCGTGGCGTCGAAGTCATCGGTCACACAGTATACACTGGCGTTCACGGTCCTTCATGTGCCAGGACAATGAGGTGTATGCCAGCCCAACCAGTCTCAAGGAGCCTCTCAATGTTGGCGGCGCTCCGGTACTTGCGTGATATTTGTATGCTGGAATTCCTGCACACCCGCCCAGTCGCTTCTTTTGCACGCGCCAGAGCTTCCCTCACTTCACCAGCAATCTCACGTTTGCTTGACTGTTGTGTGTGCAGCTTAGCCCCCTTTTTTACTGCCCCGTTTTCTTACTCTCATTTAGACCAGAGATCGCAGCCGAAAGAGCGCCTGTCTTTCATCCTCCACTGAAGACGTTACATTTGGCAGGCCAAGCTCGATCCAGGAGTCGCCGATATCTCGCAACGAGTGAGTGCACTGTGCTCCTACATTTCCCTCGCTGGCCTCATGCAATAGGGCAAGAAAATCGAGCAAAATTCTGAATTTTACGAAAGATTCGTACTCACTTGCAAACCGGCATTAACGTGTATACAAAACTTAGAAATAATAATAAGGTGGGTTGAGCAGATTTTGTTAATTTAGTTGACCAAATAATAATAATGAACAACGTTAGGTAAGTTTCCTTTTTCAAGGAAATATAAACAGCACTTATGTTTTATCAAGGAAAATAAACGTTTCTTGCAAATATTAAATTCCGCAAATGTAAAAAATTGCTACAAATTAGAACAATGCATTTAAATCTTCGCGTCAGATGAATTGATATCCTTCCTCCTTTCTTTATATCGAAAGAACTCTTCCTTTGTCAAAATATCTTAAACCTGCTTCTGTGATTGAATTACAATCAGTTTAAGAGCGTCGTTTAAAGTCCTGCGTACTTTCGGCCGTATTAAGTGTTTTCAGGTTTTCAGCCATAAATTCAGATTTTGTTCGAGGTTTATATTAAAACCTGTAAAATACGATACCCATTAAATGGATTTGCCGAATAAACGTTTGTTGAGTATTAGTTTTCCTGAACTTTTCTTACTTATATTGGGGCTTTCCCATAGCATAATGCACATAAATAAAAGGGTTGGTTCTGCCATGCTTAGTAGCACAGAAACTCTCTTCGATATCGGGTTACCTCAGACTTCACCAAAATTAGCGCCTATTACCCTCAATATACTGAACTAAGAAATTTTTCCTTACTTAAAGCCTTTTTTCAGGATTAAATCCATTCATTAGAGCAAGAACATGATGAACTCCATGCTAGACTGCACAGTCCAATTTCGCCATGACTTTTGCAGGAACTCCCGGCCATACGGTATGCGGTTATACGTGCAGACAAATGTATTTGTAGGAGGAAACTAGAACCTTGGTAGAACCTAAATCCAACAGATAGGAACTTCAGAACAACTGCAGAAAGCCGAATATGCTTCCTTCCTCCTGTTTTCTTAAGATATTGGTGGATCGATAGTCATTTCAAATGCTTATCAGCACGATGCGTTTTTGCATTCTGGATACACCTGGCGCCTACCTTAACCTGGGCGGTCACAATGCAGCAACCGTTTCAGCCAGAAGTCGAATTTTACCAATGGAAGTGCAGACGCCTCTCAACCACTGGTTTACTTGTATCTG